TCTATATCCATCTATCTATCTATCTATCTATCTATCTATCTATCTATCTATCTATCTCTCTCTCTCTCTCTCTCTCTCTCTCCCCTAGCAGTTTTCTTGATTCTATACCAGGCTCTCTACCTATCATGATTAGTGTATAAACAGGCAGCTTCATGCCATTCGGCATCATTGGTGTAGCGTATAGGGGTTTCGCCGTCGCACACAGAAGACCCTAGTTCGATTCCCGTGTGGGGGAGAATTTTTATGGAGTAACACGATCTTTCTGCTGGGATGATGTATCACATCCATCTCAGTCCTGGTTGGCACTGACAGTGACAGACAGGGTAGAAACTTATCTCCTATATAAAAGGATTGCAATTGTGATGATGGGGGCCTTAAAATCCTACATTAAAAAAGAAAATGAACCAACCAACCAACCAACCATTCAACCAACCAACCAACCAACCAACCAACCAACCAACCAACCAACCAACCAACCAACCAACTAACCAACCAACCAACCAACCAACCAATCCCTATTACGAACCTTGAACACTTTCTTGGTGTTTGTGTAGCGTGTGGCCCAGTACAAACCCCTCTCCTCCGGGTCAGGCTCGTACGGGTGGTCAAAATAGAAGTTAGTGGCTGGTGTCACTATCACCTGCGGACATGATTTGGGGAAAATGTTGCCTGAATGTTTCATCGAATGCATATTATCTCTGAACTTGGACGTGGAGAAGGAAAATAATAATATATCGACTCAACCTCCTTTGTGCTTTTCAAAATTCTTCTTTTCTAATTATTCAAACTTTTGTTTGCGTTCAAATATAATGATACAAAGCTACATATATATTTTCTAGCTATTATTTTAGTAATTCTATCTGTCATCAAGCAATAATCTCTCAATTCTAACTGAATATTTAAAAAGTGCATAAGTATATTAATATTGCGGTATACTGTTTTCTAATCTACAATCCAATGTTGAGGAAGATCCATTGTTAGAACATTTGTTTAACCCTATCCGTGCGCTCTGGGGTCATTTTGTATCTGAAAATTCTTCACATTTTAGAATATTTCTAGTGCGAAGATCTCTTTGAAACTTTCAGTATTTAAACAAAAAATCAGTTTGACAGACTGCTATGCTAAGTGTACGGATCGGATTAACGAGTTTATTTCCTCTTTGGAAAGTAGTATCTCAGAGTTTCCCACGTCGTATGGATATTATAGTAAAATACGACGTACGGATAGGTTAAATAAAAGTAAAACGCACGCAGTAATTTCAAAGAGGCTGAGGTTTCTGTATTGATTGACAATTTTCCGCTTTGACAAGTTGCAAAGAGCAGCAATTTTCCATGTTGACTAATTTCCTTTCTGAAAAGTTCTGTATTCCCAAGTTTTGTCGTTGATAATCATAAGTCTTTTGTGTTGGGAAGGGGTATAACGTGTTATTTACCTTGTAGCCGTTATTGGCAAAGTCGTAGGCCCTCCTTGCTACTCCCCATTCCCAGACGTTGTTCCAGGCAAAAATATATACGTTTCTGTGGAAATATGCGATCAAAATATGTAATGTCATATTGAAGCTCATAAAAAGTACTTTAAAAATATAATCACACGCCATGAGTCTACAAACAGCTCATTAATATAATGAACTATCTGCAACATGTTTGCCCGAAAAAAGGCGCACGTTTTTTTTCTTCCACAATTACGAACGCTTTGGTACAACACGCCAAACATGTCGTGCAACAAGTGAAGCAATATCGCTCAACGACACAGTAACTTTTGAAAGATTAGAGCAAAGCAAGTAAGCTCCAGATAATAAAACATTGGCACAGTCTCCCCTTTTTCAGTTTTATTCCAGGAAATATGCAGACTGTACCATAATATTTTGAAGACCCACCTCAGAGGTTCACTCTCTTTTCGCGGAAGCATATGCATGATATTTACCATGGCGAATCGCTTCTGCATTTACAACTCCCTTCTTCTCTTTTCCATTTTTCTCCCCCAATGGGTTAGATGCTCTCCCTTTAAAATTAAGTATATTATGGTCTGCTTAGCGTATGACTTCGTCAGACACCATTGTGAAAAGTGACGTATGAAGGAGTCAAACACTACGCAGCATGCAGTCGGTATACTTGTGCCTAACAGGTTGTTAAAACACAACCCAGAACAAATACATAAAGAAACAAATAACACACACACACACACACACACACACA